AACACACTCTAAACCGTTGGCTTTGATTCCATTTACCTCAAAAGATGGTGATCTTGATGACGTATATAAAAAAAAATTAGGCCTTGATGGGATGTTTTATTCTTTTTAGTTTGATGAAGAGGGATGGACAAATTATCATTCGAGATGAAATCGTTGAGAACGTGTAAAAACACAATATTACTTAGTTTAGTTTTTTCGGATGAAACTTCTATTATAAACAAAATATTATTTCCAAGAACTGAAAAAAAAAACAAGAAATTTTATTTATTAATTTGAATATTTTTTTTATTTAATATAAATAAATCTTGTTTAACCACAAAAAAAAGTTTGGTCAAACCCACTTTTCCACCATCCGCCAAGAATCACATCATCAGAGTTGTAATATAATTTAAGGAGTATCACCCATATCAAATATCTTAATATAATTTCTTGCAAAGGATCAATTCTAACGATGTAATTTGATTCCCAAATTCAAAGTCTAATGCACTGAGGAATTAAATAAGGGCTGACATTCACTCAATTCAAATTTAAAAAGTCAAACTTTCATCTTTAAGATTTTTTTCCTTTTTGTAATAAAAAATGAAATTAATGAAAGCATGTTCCTTGTACGAGTTGTGATCTGAGGTTCGTTTATGCCATTCAATTTGCTGTCCATCCAATTATAAATTGACACATCGTCAAAAATTAAAATTGATGGCAACTTTAATTTTTCATGATGTGCCAATTTATAATTGGATGGATAACAAATTAGACGTTTAATTGCATTTGGCACATCGTGAATTAATTTTTTAGCTTTAACATCAATTTTAATTTGACATAATTTGTCAATTTGTAATTAGGTGAACAACAAATTTGACAGTATAAATGGACAATGGATCTCAAGTGTGATAAATAGATAATTGATACTTATCGACATTTATTATGGTAACTTAAATAATATTAGATGTAATTTTAATAAATTATGTTACATATTATTACTTCTTTATTATGTTTAATTCAATACAGAAAATATACTCTTTCGATCTAATAATTAAAATCGAAGTAATTGAATATTACTAAAACATAAAATAAAAAAAGATTAATTATACGATTTAATTATATCGAATATATTATCAAAGCATAGTTTTGACTAAAGTTATGAAATAAATTATGAGCTCCAATTATTTAGAGTTACTATACATAGTGGGTTTTTAATCCATAGGGTCTAGGGAACATTTATTGTACCCCCACAAAATATATTTCAATTTAGAGCAACACATAATTGTGGTCAACTAACATTGATTTGTTTTGTTTACTTTTTTTTCCCCAAATTGATATGAACGTTTAACGCATTGAATTACAAATGCTATATGTACGTACGATTCGTTAGAATACTTATACATTGAAGCCCTCTTCTTAGATGCAGACAAAAACAATGTGATATTTTTGTAAATACGTATTTAGGGCATTCTTCTAGAAGATGGTTCAAATGTCAAAACACGATGATTATAAATGTTAAATTTGTAAATAAACTACGATATATCTAAGTAACACACGTTTTTAAGTTGTGGTGTTAAATTATACTACGTAACTTTGACTTCGTACAAGAAGATTATAGTTACGAGTAATATATAAAATGTAATATCTTCTAACACCAGCATCAAATTTCTTAGATTTTTTTTTCATATGTCCTTTTGAGAAATCTTGATGATCATTACACTTCCAACACAAGAATCCAAGATAAGGTTGGTATACGTATGAACACGTGGATTATCTTTAAATTGTGGTGGGGTAAAGGAAATGATGAAATTTGAAAGGGAAACATGCAAGGTTCCTATGGTGTGGACACAATCTACTATAATCTAACTCTTGTAACGGTGGATGTTTTTGTCCAAAAAATAAAATGGTTGTGGGGGTGGGGGTGGGGGGTGGGGTATGGTACCACTTTATCAGAGGAAGGTACAACTGCTGTCCTAAGTGTCTGATTAGAACCTTATGTTAGGAATTCGTTCGACACGAAGGGACTTGTTAGTTTGGACTTGCTCGATCGATTTCATCGATAAAAAAATTGAAAAGGTACGGGTCAATTTTATTTTTTTTAACAAAAAATTAAAACCCACTAAAAAACACAAAGAATTGACTGGCTCGAGCCCTAAATTTAATTGGTCTATCCTTGTATTTTTCAAATTCTCTTATGTGAGATGTTTGGTAGGATGATTATGCATTTTGAACGTTCGATCTCGTGGAGTATCGTTTATCAAACTCACAGGTAATTTTATTCGAAATTTATATAATTATAATTTTGTAATACCTTAAGATTAAAAATCACTTTTGCTTGAATAGAATTAGAGTATTGATCTTTCAGTCTTTAAAATATTTAACTTGCATCTAAAAATAATATTATTTTGCAAAAATAAAAAGATCGCATTTCACCAATTTACCTTGTCTCGATTGATTAAAAATTGTTGCTTCCATAACTAAGATCGAGAATTTTAAAATTGGCCCTCAAAAAAGGTTATCGATTAAATGATCTCTATCCTTAAACTCGGCCATTTGTATAACATCAAAAAAGGAAAAATATTACATTTGTATAACAACAATAAAATGGACTTTACATTCGATAAATTTGTCGATAACGAACTATATTGACTTTTATCCACTCTTTTTCGCAATTTGTATGCAAAAATTTAAAATTTTGTTACAAGAGCATAAATCTTGCTTCAATCCACTACATTTATATTTATTTGAGCCAATAGCTGAAAATGATAATTTCGTGCAATAAACAATTTTTCATTTAAAAAATTATTTAATTTTTTGGTATATACTATATAGTATTCACAACCCAATCAAAAATTAAGGGCAATTTATGCTTTGGCCATTTGAATTAAATTAATGTTTTAATAATTGGTACGAACGACGACTTGTAAAACGTAAAGGGTCAAATATTAAAGAGTGGAATCGGTCATTAAAATTAAATAAAAAAATTTTTAAAAATTTTGACTTCTAACCAGTCAACTGTGGACTCAACTCCGACAGGTTTTACTGCAAACAGGACAATTTTGAGATCGAACCGGTGGATTCGTATGTTGTTTTGTTTTAAATTTCTTGATTCTGGTCTATAATCAAACAGTATTTGAATTTTATTTATTTATTCTAATTGAACGACCAAGACACCAATTGAATCTGGTTTGGAACATGACATTCTAAGAGCAACAAACCTTACTGCTTTTTCTTACAAAAGTTCAACCATCAATATTGACCATGATGATAATTTACTCTTACGAAATACAAAAGTTTTGCGTGACAATATTCTTTACCGAATTGAGTGCTTATGAAGCATAAAAATTGTTGCATAATGACCTTACTAATGTCTAATAAATTACGTCTTATATTAATTTATAAAATATCTGTGTAACTGTATTTACTTCTGTAGCACAATTCTATGCTCACTTTAGCTATCGAAATTAAAAGAAGCAATTAAGCGTGTACATTAGAAGCGGGCATAAACTATAGGGCCCTGTTTATTTTGAATTAAAATCAGATTTTAATACAAGTTAAAGTCAATCAGTTAATATTAATCACATCTTTCCTGGGTATCACAACTTTTCAATCACATATTTCAAAATTTTATATCACAATCTACTAAAAATCTAATTTTAATCATCACCAAACACTCACTAGTCAGCGACATCCAAATCTATTTTAAGTTAAGGTCAAATTTTAACTAAAAAAAAACATAATTTCAACAATTATAATCACATTTATATAAAAGGATAATGATAATTAAATGAATGATCATGACATACATGCCGAGATGTAGTACCTATGACATCGATGGGGCACAAGTTGGATGGCCATGGGAAGCAAATCTTAAAAGTGAATCCAAAGAAATTTCCCCTCTTTGCACATCACCCCTCACCACCACCCAACTCTTCCCATTGGGCCATGGGAAGCAAATCATAAAAGGGAATCAAAAGACATCCCCACCCCACCCCACCCCACCCCACCCACCGGGTTAGGACAGAGTAAGAGCACATGATTTCACATAAGAAAAGGGCAGCAATGCTTACATCACCCGTATCTTATGAAGGATTTTTGTGGGTCCCATGTCCAACCTACTTTTGCTCTCAATTCCAAGGTCTCTTAAACAATTTTAGAAAACTTCTCCATTAGTCCCCAGTCTATTGTCTCAATATACTTGGTCCCTACCTTTGAAAGAAACTTATGAATCACTAACTTTTCATTATAGTTGGGAAATTAGTCCTTACTGTCAAAACCATTCCAATTTTATGAAGCTAAGTTTCATTGTTCATCTTGGACGAAAGTAGGGATGGACATTTGGACTCAGAATTGATAAATCGATGAACTCAAACGGAATTGACCCGTTGAATGGTGATCATTACTATACAAATCCCAAGATAGTGAAATTTATTGTCGAGTAAGTTTCAACATGCAAAAAAGGTATACGATTTGAACACTGTGTTGGAGAAATGCTCAAATAAACATGTATATGAAGAGGACTACTTTGAAATTTAATGAATATTTGTACAATTTTTGTCATTGAAGTCTGGTTCACAATTAAACCAATTTACTCCTCTTTAAAAATTGAAGACCAAATTACTACTTAGACAATAAGTTAGAGACTCTTGCATATAGGAACCAAACCCACCGAGAATCACTACAAATAAAACTCCCTGTTAGACACTATTCTCTGTTTATTCAATATTCTTTATTTTATTATATTTAACTGTCTACACATCCTATTGCTTGCCTTGAAATTCAATTCCAAGTTGGAAAAATCTTGCAAAATCTTTGGATGCAATTTGGTCAGATCTTGCTTTGTGGGTTGTGGAATTTCTCGAGTCTTATTTCAATTCAACAAAACCCCATTCCCTCTTCAAAAACTCAAACGCAAAATCCAAAACAATCCCTCTAATAATCAAAGAGACTGTTTCTCTCTCATCTGTCTCTCTCTTCTTCTTAAAACTCGCATTCTGGCATTGAAGATTGAATTTGGAGCAATGGGAATGGCGGCCTCAGACTCACAGTTTCATGTTCTTGCTGTTGATGATAGCCTTATAGACAGAAAGCTCATTGAAAGGCTACTTAAAACCTCTTCTTATATAGGTACCTATGTTTCTTCAAAAAAATACAATTCATAGAATTTATTTTTGCTTAAAATTCATATATTTATTTTTCTAATTTTTCTGGGTTTTTTGCATTGTTCAATGCAGTTACTACAGTTGATTCTGGTAGCAAAGCTTTAGAATATCTTGGTTGGCATGAAGATGACAGAAGAAACACAGATGGAACTTCCGTTTCTCCTCAAAACCAGCAGGTAAATTTATTTATTTATTAATTTTTGCCGATTTTCTATTCGTTTCATTCTCTTAGGTTGTAAGGATTTCATGGGATTGTCTGAAAATAAATTTCTTTGTATTTACAGGAAGCGGAAGTAAATCTTGTAATTACAGACTATTGTATGCCTGAAATGACGGGCTACGATTTGCTCAAGAAAATCAAGGTTTACTTTCTTAGATTCTATTCTATTCCATTTATGTCATTCTTCCAATATATTGTGGAAAATTGGGTATCCAGCTTAAAAGTTACTTTTCTAGAATAGTTAGGAATCGACCTTGCATAAAAGTAAATTGACCGACCTTTAAACGCAAGTACATGTGATCTAAGTCTTATTTTCAATATTCGGTAGATCTTTTTATTTGTCCGGTCGGAATTCATTACAACTAGAATCTTAGCAACTATTTAGGGAGCTGCTCCTTTGAATAAGTAAAAAATGATTTTGCATCTTTTCCAAGACCTCATTTTTCATATTTGGAATATATTCTTCCACAAAATTTGCCAATTCAAACTTTATCGATCTGGGATTTTGATGAATTCTGAAAAGTTGTCTACATGGGTCATTTTCCCACCATTCATTTGAGATCAAAAGAATCTTAGGCCCTGTTTGATTATCATATTTTTCATGAAAAATGTTACGTTGGAGGAAAACGAATTCCACTTTGACCGTTGGATAGCAACGCTGAAATGGAAACCGAACTCTTTAAGCTGCATTTTCTTTGTTTTCATGGAAAACGAATTCTTGTGTGTTTGGTGGATTTTTATTTTCCAACTAACATGGAACTGTAATTCCTTTCCACTATTGCTTATCAAACGGATCCTTAGAAAAATCTTTATCCCACCTAATTTTAGTAATTTCACATTGGCAGGGCATTTACTAATTCCACGTAGTCACTCTATCGCTTTAGGCTTTTATGATTTTTTTTTTCTTGGCATGAATGTACTAGTTATTTGTAACATCTGAAAACCAACTTTTTTTTTTAAAATGAATTTTGCATTCATTCGACTTAGTTACTAAGGATCTAATTTGATTTTAAATAAATCTAGCAACGGATTGAACTGACCGAAAAGAAATTCATATAGTCGAATCCCAAATTTATTGTGAGTCGTTGCGATTGTTATTCTAGCGGATTAGATAATTAGGCCTTTTAGTAGATCTATGGATCGAATGGTACAAAGAAAGAAATATTCATTTAGCCGATTCCAATTTTTTTTCAAAAATTACGTGCAGTTTGTTGTCACATGAATTTCTCTGGAGAACAACTTTAGTTAACAAGTGGGCAACCTTTTGTTTTGCAGGAATCTTCATCTCTGAGAAACATACCAGTAGTCATTATGTCTTCTGAGAATGTTCCCTCAAGAATCAATAGGTAAGGATAATTTTACATTTGGACGTATTTTTAGTAGATTTGGAGTCGACTATGTAAATTATTTGTTGGCGTCCCGCTTATGAATTGTTACCTTTTCAGATGCTTAGAAGAAGGAGCAGAGGAATTTTTTCTCAAGCCAGTGAGATTGTCAGATGTAAATAAGCTTAAACCCCATATGATCAAAACTAAAAAGCAAGACAAAAGAGAATCGACCCCGCCGCCGCCACCACTACTTTCACAGCCACTGCCTCTTCCACCACAATCACAGCCACCACAGTTGCAGCAGCAGCCACCACAACTGACCGTGGCGCAGCAGCCGCCGCCACAACCAACCGTGGCGCAGCAGCAGCCACCGCAGTTGAGTAATAACAAGAGGAAGGGCATGGATGAAGGACTTCCCTCCCCAGACAGAACAAGACCTAGATACAATGACTTAACTGTGGTGTCTAATTGATTATAGCAAATAATTTTCTTGTTCACAATTTGAAATTTTTTAATGACACAATATTTCTTGTACACATTTTACATGAAGAATTTACATCCAATTTTGTTTTTCTTATTTAAGGAACATTAATTTCGATTAGACGAACACTTTGCCTACACTGCACCCCACCCCCCTCTTTTTTATCCTCGCTCAAGCTTGACCAAGTCTTGGAAGAAAATTATGTGGTCTTTGTATAGTTATCGTGTTTAACACACCTTTTTTCCTTTTTCTATAGATTTATGTGAAAAACAGGGCCGTGCATGGACAACGGTCATGGTCATCTAAGTCATTTTAGACCCTCAATGTATAGGGGGTGTTCACATAATTGCTGACATAGTAACTTAGGTCATGCTAAAGGTCATCTAGACCGTGCATAGACTTGGGGGTGTTCACATAATTGCTGACATAGTGACTTAGGTCATGCTAAAGGTCATCTAGACCGTGCATAGACTGCAAAAGGTCATCTAGATCGTGCTAGATCCTTGATGTATCGAAGTGTTTTACACCCCTAGTCAAACTATAACATGCAAAAAACTAGCATAGTTTATGGAATTTATTAAATTCCGTTTCTATGGACAACTATATGCCAACATTAGTTGTACCATGAATGTAGCACATGCTTCTTGATGGGTTTTTTCTTGATTTGTAAATTGTTGAAGCTTCAAAAGGATATTCTTTTTGGAGGAGAGAAGAGGTCAATTTAAGGGTTTATAATATCCTAAACAAATCTTTATTTATTTTTTAATATTCTTCTTTATAAATTTAAATTTTCATATGAAGTACCGACATCATATTTCGATATCACTTGTCTTAACACTTTTGATCGATTATTTTGACAGAATCAATGTAGTTATTAAATATGACATCTTAATTACACACCGTAAACGTTAAAACTCTGGTAAAAAAATTACATTCATAGTTTCTCATGTTAGAATACATGCTGGTGTTAGACTTCATACTATGTAAAATTCAGTTAACTGTCACTTTTTTATTAAAATATCACTTTTATTAAAAAGTAATGCTTGTCATTCAAGAAAATGACAGAATTCTCAAGAAAGTAACAAAAAATAAAATAAAAAAGTCAAAAATACTATGTAAAATAAGTGACAAAATAACACTTCTCTAAGTTAAGTGTATTTTTTTTTCAAATTAAAAAGTGACATACTTCTATTAAAAAAGTGATTGAAATTTCAAGATAATGGCAGATAATAAATTAAAAAAAGTGACAAAACACTTACAAAAACAAAAATTCAAAAAAATGGCAAAAATTTAAAATAAGTAACAAACAATAAAAAAGTGACAAAATTATCAAAAACGTTACTGAAAATACAAAAAAAAGGTAACAAACACTTTAAATATTGTCAAAAAAAATAAAAAAAAAATGACAAAGCACCAATCAAAACTTAGGTTTGTCACTCAAAAAAGTGACCGAAATTTTTTAAAAATAACAAACAATAAAAAGTGACAAAATTTTCAAAAAATGACAGAAAAAAGTGACAAGCACGATTAAAAAAAAAAAAATCACTAAAACAACAAAAATTCAAAAAAGTAACAAATACTAAAAAAAAAAAAGTACAAATCATTAATCAAAACCTATGTTTCTCAATAAACAAACGATAAACCATTTGTCCAACCAACGCTTTTTGATTTTTTTTTTAAAGTAACAAACAATAAAAAAAAGTGACAATACTATTCAAAAAAGTAACAAATTTTAAAAAGGTGACAAAGCACCATTCAAAACCTTAAAATATGTCATTTTATACAAATTCAATCACTCCACCACCACTTTCACTATATTACATACATAAACCATTTGTCCAACCAATGCTTTTCTATTATCTTGGAAAGCAAAGGTGTGCCGTGCCAATCACTACAAGGGATTCAGTCTCACCCCGAATATTTCAATTGACAGTGTGTTATAATTGTTGTCAACATTAATCTTGGGTACATCAAGAGGATTTAATAGTCACGAATCGTATGTCAATGGAACGTGGAATGCTGTGCTATAATCGTTGTCAACGTTAATCTTAGATACATCAATAGGATTCAATAGTTATGAATCGAATGTCAATGAAACATTGGATGTTTCGTTTGAAACACAAAAGAAGTTATAAATGTGAAGTGCTTAACATAGAAGCACTAGGAACGGAGGTCAAGGCTGAGGACTTCATAAATTTTTCAATGATTCAAAGTAAAATTGGACGAGTAGATAGTCTTGATGATGATGATAGGTTTCCACTCATTGGTGCAAACCTTGTGACATTGTCAAAGCACGAACAATCGGTTGACGCAAAATAAAGCTAAAGCCCGTTGAAAGAGACGTGGTTCAGAAACTGGTGCTTTCTGCTAATGACAGTGGGAATAGGAAATAGGAAAGTGGCTATGCATAAAAATTGCAATAATCGAGTCAATGAAGAGACAGACCTTGGTGGTGTAAACTTTATCCCCATTTCCATTAATGTAAAATTGGAGATACATCCTTACTGGTACCCCTCCTGCATCATAGTAAAATAATCTTCAAATAAAGTATTGAGGAAAACTTAATAATCCAATTGAATAAAAAATGCAAACCCATGACTTCAATACACAAACACCAACAATTTAATTTACCTTTAACCTTAAAAACATAATCGAAAAACCCTAATAGGCGTTGGGAGGTTTTGCAACGTATTTATTACGTTATTAACTATTTTAATTAGTTAATAGGGCACTAATCAAATATAATTTGAGGACAGCGATATCGTGTTCAAGTCTTCGATTTTTCATCTTCGCACTTGACTTTTGGTTTTGTGTACCTCATTTTCCAGTTTGGTTCGTGGCTTTCATCTCCATTCCCCTTGGTGGACTTCATACAAATTACCAACATGAGGTGCAGCCATGGGTGATAGATTTTAATCGAGGCTTTATCAATTCCTCATTCTTGTTCTTGCTAGTCGATTTACAGGAAATTATGTTTGAGCTTTTTATTGCTAGTGTCGTGGGTGTTAGATGGGTTTGTACACCCAACATTTGTTGGGAATTGTGCATAGATTAATCGGTGGAATTATTGTGGTATATAATTTTTAATTGGGTCAGTTTATGTAATTTTATATACTTTTTTTTTTTTTGCTGTTTATTTTGGTAGTTTTTTAGTTCAGTTTTGGAACAAAAAATGCACAATGACCACTTTGCTGAAATTCTGTTGACTTGGAACTTTGCAGGTGATGGAGGGGTAGTGTTGGTGCAGCTATTAGACTCTCTACACATTACCGTTTATATCAAAAAAATATAAACTTGGAAATGACCAGTTCTCTTACTTTTAAAATCGCCATTTCTCCCTCTATTTTGTTGGTTTGTGTTGGTTGTTGAAGTGATGATGGTGCCAATGGCGGTGGAGTGGTGGCAGTTTGCAAATAGTGGTTGTGATGCTGGCAATGGTCACATATTCATTGAGCGTACAAATGACTTGTGATTTGTTTAGTGTGACCCATGAACATAAATCAGTGATCTGTGATCAATTCTATTAGATCTGTGACATGTGAAGATTGATATGTGAAGTGCACAATAACTTGTGACGTATGAACTGATAACATGTCATATATCAGTTCATACACACTATAAAGAAATTAATGATCCATTCAAATCCCTACCAGTAATGCTGAAAATTGATTTGGAGTAGCTGTCCCTCTAAACTAATGTTACACCTGCCATTAGCCACTTGAAAATGTAGGGACACACTATAAAGAAATTAATGATTTCATATAGACTAAATTGTAGGTACGGAGTTAGTTTTATTCTATATTGACAAGACATAAATTTACATTATTTGTAATTTCGAAAAACATAACACACATTATCTGAAGAACTTATTTTGTTTATGTCATCTAACTGCTAAAACCAACTTAAAAAGGGAAATATTTGCTCTATGAATGAGTGTCTTGTACATTAATTTTCAAAAATATCAAGCTTTGAAGAAAAGACAAATTGTTTAATGAGTTCAATAATCACTAAATTCTTGTTTCTTCTTTAAGAATCACGAACTTTTACCATCATTCCCTAAGTTAAAGTTCAATTTTGTGATAATGAATATTGTTACATGTCGTAAAAAAATTATTTGCCTCAATAAAGAAAATACACACAGTACCAGAAAAATAATACCGTTGCCTCGTCGAAACCCGTCTTATTAAGAGCTTGTTTGTCTCCCATTATGGGAGAAAGAATGATGTTTTGAATAGTATTTTTTGGAGAATGTGTGGTTAAAATTGAAAAAAATTTTATTAGTTTAAGTGTAGAATATTTTATTATTTGAATGTGGGGTGGAGATTGATTATTGTAGAAAACAATGTTTTGAAAAATGGTAGACAAATAGGGGCTAAGTTTAAATTTAAAAGGAGTAAAATGATACTTATTTTTAGCAAAGTACGCAAAATATGTTTTGAGTGACATATTCTCTTTTACCTTTAATAGAAAGTGTTTTTTTTTTTTAAAATAAAAAAGACTAGCTAATAGTTATAATTAAAATAAGTAAATAACTCAATTTTTGCAACTTTAATCAAAATAGATGTTTTTCTAAATTTAGTAATTTACTATAAAACTTTCTACGGTATGTCCTTTTCTTACACTACAGATGTCAATGTGGACCCGATAAACAAATTGTACGTTGTGGAGCGACTATTGTACATTGTAAAGGCAATTTCAAAGTTCTTGAAATTATAAGGTTCTGGAAATTCGACCCACAATTGGTAAAGCCAGTAATTACTAGAGGTGTCTCAAATTCTGATGAAATTCATGGTGAGGCAATTCGTACATACTTTCCAACCTTATTTAATGTCTAAAAGTTGATATTCACATCTAAATGTGTAATTACATGCATATTCTGATGTATATGTGATGTGATCTTTGTATTTTTTGAGTTTTTTGCGGCTGAATATTGATGGGTTTTTGTTTTTTGGGCTAAAGATTTAATTTTTTTTCCCGGTGTTCTATTGAAT